TGTGCTAGCAAAACAGTCCTGTATCTTAGCATCTGCGTCATCTGACCACTTCCTTATTAACCGAGTCACTGGTGCTTCCTGCTTTAGTTTTTGCTTATAAGTAGGAATCAGGAGGATAGAGTTACAGTCAGATTTGCCAAATGGAGGGCGAGGGAGAGCTTTGTACGCATCTCTGTGTGTGGAGTAAAGGTGGTTTAGAGTTTATTTCCTCTGCTTGCACATTTAACATGCTGGTAGGAATGAGGTAGAACAGATTAAGATTCCCTGCTTTAAAGTCCCCGGCCACTAGGAGCGCTGCCTCTGGATGAGTGTCTTCCTGTTTACTTATGGCCTTATTCAGCTCATTGAGTGCAATATTAGTGCCAGCGTTGGTTCGTGATGGTAAATAGACAGCTATGAAAAATATAGATGAAAACTCTCTTGATAAATAGTGTAGTCTACAGCTTATCATGAGATACTCTACTTCAGGCGAAAAAAACCTCGAGACTTCCTTAGTATTAGTTATTGTGCACCAGCTGTTGTTTACAAATATACACAGACCGCCACCACTTGTCTTACCGGAGTCAGCCGTTCTATCCTGCCGATGTAGCGTATATCCCGCCAGCTGTATGTTATCCATGTCGTCGTTAGGCCACGACTCGGTGAAACATAAGATATTACAGTTTTTTATGTCCCGTTGGTAGGATAACCTTAATCTTAGGTCGTCCAATTTATTTTTCAAATGATTGAACATTGGCTAATAGGATTGATGGAAGAGGCAGTTTACTCCCTCGCCATCGGATCTTTACAAGGCACCCCGACCTACGTCTACGATATCTCTGTCTCTTTCTCATGCGAATGACGGGAATTTGGGCCTTGTCGGGTGTCTGTAGAATATCCTTCACGTCCGACTCGTTGAAGAAAAAATCTTTGTCCAATACGAGGTGAGTAATCGCTGTCCTGATATCCAGAAGCTCTTTTTGGTCACAAGAGACGGTGGCAGAAATATTATGTATAGAATAAATTACAAATAACGCGAAAAAACATAATTGGTTAGAGGGCTGTAAAACGGCAGCCATCTTCTCCGGTGCCATTTTCCACTCTAGGCCTGTGCCCACTCTGTTATTGGCACGTGCGCTCTAGCAAACAGCTCGTAGATGCAGTGTGAGTGTAGCATACTACATGATGAGATTATTATGGACAAAAGTGAGAGATTATTTTCATTTATCACATTTACATTTACATTTTAGTCATTTAGCAGACGCTCTTATCCAGAGCGACTTACAGTTAGTGAATACATATATATATATATTTTTATTTTATTTTTTATTTTTTTTTATACTGGCCCCCCGTGGGAATCGAACCCACAACCCTGGCGTTGCAAACGCCATGCTCTATCAACATCCCTGCCGGCCATTCCCTCCCCTACCCTGGACGACGCTGGGCCAATTGTGCGCCGCCCATGAGTCTCCCGGTCGCGGCCAGCTGCGACAGAGCCTGGATTCGAACCAGGATCTCTAGTGACACAGTTAACACTGCGATGCAGTGTCTTAGACCACTGCGCCACTCACTCAAACAGCAGCCAAGCATTGATCATCATGTCACCAGAATAAGACCCTCGATATTTATTGAAAGGACTATCAAGCTCATCACCGTGCACTTTCACCACCTTGTGAAGTTCATCATGTACTTTACTCACATAAAAAGGTTGGATGAAAACCTGGTTAATGTCAAGCCATTTTGATGATACAGGAATTATATTTTGGACGAATGTGCGCATGCCTACAGGAGACTTTTGAAGTAGCCTAATCAGATTAAAACATTGTGACTGGTTGTTTATACAACATATAAAAGGTAATACATTTTAAAAGCTACATTACATGATACATATTTAGGCTATTGAAGCTTTAGGTTCTAGGTGCGCGAGGAATAGCCGCTCTGATTGGAGAGGAGACAGAGCACATGTTAAACTTTCCTGAATAACTGGGCCTACCAGGAACATATGTGGCCACATTATTATATGCCAACTTTTGAGATTGATGATCTGCAACAGACAGCGCATCTCAGTATCAGAAGTAAAAATACAGCCGGACTGGTCTGCTGCTGTGCCTTTCTAGACCTTATAAACTGTCGATAGTAGACCCACAACTGATCCAAATGAAATGAAACATTCAAATTTAGCACTCACTTGAAAGCAATAATGCAATGATTCATTGACTTGTGGTATTGTAGGCTAGTCTAGGTAGGATAATTGTACTGTCCCTAAACAAGATCAATAGGGGAGCTTTTTGAGCTGCGTGTCTCATGCCTTCACAGTTCTTTCATGCGCAATGATGCACCTGGCCTCTCCGCTGTCGATCAGGTATTCCTATTAGTTCTTGTGGATTCATATTAAAAATGTATGCAGCTTTGAATGCTTTTATGTGTGGTATGATTGCTAGTTAGCCTATTGCAGATCTGGACAAACGATCCACCTACCACTATTGTCACTATGAATGGTGGCTAGAGTGCAGGATAGACAGACTGGTAGACTATATTGACCTGTGGTATAGTAAAGGATAGCGTGCGGAAAAGAGTAGTGCATAAGGGAAGTGCCAAAACACCTTGATATAGGGGAGGCGCATACAAGCAGATGAGGAAATTTGGCTAGGATGGAAGAAATTATGCCCAATAAAAAAAAAACACAACCCTCCCCAAAGCAAAAAAATACATTTGACAATCCTCCCCTGGTAAAGGGCATTTACTCAAGTAGAAGGAAAAGTAGCCCACTTGAGAATGCCTACTTGAGAAAAGTACAAATTCCCCCTAGTGCCTCGTGAATGTCTACACGCCCTTGCACAGTCTTCACATTTTGCTGCCTTCAAATTTATTCTCAAAAGGGAATAAATTGGATTTTTTTCCTAACGATCTACACAACCTACTTCACATTTTCAAAGTTGAAGAGAAGTTAACACAACAATTGAGCCTTTCCTTCTCGAAAGCAACTGTTCAGACAATTCAGAAGTGAGGTTGTTGATTCTGCTCTTCACAAGTCCTCAGTGTCAGCCCTAGCCATGAAAACTTCCCCAAAATAACACTAGTGCTTACACCGGGAAAACGTTTGGAGAGGGTCCCAGTCCAGATGGAAAATCTGCATTAGTCTCCACCCTCAGAATGCAGCACAGCACACACACCCACGCTTCCCTATTATGTATATATATACACTGCTCAAAAAAATAAAGGGAACACTAAAATAACACATCCTAGATCTGAATGAATGAAATAATCTTATTAAATACTTTTTTCTTTACCTAGTTGAATGTGCTGACAACAAAATCACACAAAAATGATCAATGGAAATCAAATTTATCAACCCATGGAGGTCTGGATTTGGAGTCACCCTCAAAATTAAAGTGGAAAACCACACTACAGGCTGATCCAACTTTGATGTAATGTCCTTAAAACAAGTCAAAATGAGGCTCAGTAGTGTGTGTGGCCTCCACGTGCCTGTATGACCTCCCTACAACGCCTGGGCATGCTCCTGATGAGGTGACGGATGGTCTCCTGAGGGATCTCCTCCCAGACCTGGACTAAAGCATCCGACAACTCCTGGACAGTCTGTGGTGCAACGTGGCGTTGGTGGATGGAGCGAGACATGATGTCCCAGATGTGCTCAATTGGATTCAGGTCTGGGGAACGGGCGGGCCAGTCCTCCTCTTGCAGGAACTGCTGACACACTTCAGCCACATGAGGTCTAGCATTGTCTTGCATTAGGAGGAACCCAGGGCCAACCGCACCAGCATATATATATATTTTTTTTGCATATTTTTTTAGCATATGTTCTCACAAGAGGTCTGAGGATCTCATCTCGGTACCTAATGGCAGTCAGGCTACCTCTGGCGAGCACATGGAGGGCTGTGCGGCCCCCCAAAGAAATGCCACCCCACACCATGACTGACCACCGCCAAACCGGTCATGCTGGAGGATGTTGCAGGCAGCAGAACGTTCTCCACGGCGTCTCCAGACGCGAATTTGCCAATCTTGGTGTTCTCTGGCAAATGCCAAACGTCCTGCACGGTGTTGGGCTGTAAGCACTACCCCCACCTGTGGACGTCGGGCCCTCATACCACCCTCATGGAGTCTGTTTCTGACCGTTTGAGCAGACACATGCACATTTGTGGCCTGCTGGAGGTCATTTTGCAGGGCTCTGGCAGTGCTCCTCCTGCTCCTCCTTGCACAAAGGCGGAGGTAGCAGTCCTGCTGCTGGGTTGTTGCCCTCCTACGGCCTGCTCCACGTCTCCTGATGTACTGGCCTGTCTCCTGGTAGCGCCTCCATGCTCTGGACACTACGCTGACAGACACAGCAAACCTTCTTGCCACAGCTCGCATTGATGTGCGATCCTGGATGAGCTGCACTACCTGAGCCACTTGTGTGGGTTGTAGACTCCGTCTCATGCTACCACTAGAGTGAAAGCACCGCCAGCATTCAAAAGTGACCAAAACATCAGCCAGGAAGCATAGGAACTGAGAAGTGGTCCGTGGTCACCACCTGCAAAACCAGTCCTTTATTGGGGGTGTCTTGCTAATTGCCTATAATTTCCACCTGTTGTCTATTCCATTTGCACAACAGCATGTGAAATGTATTGTCAATCAGTGTTGCTTCCTAAGTGGACAGTTTGATTTCACAGAAGTGTGATTGACTTGGAGTTACATTGTGTTGTTTAATTGTTCCCTTTGTTTTTTTGAGCAGTGTATATACAGTATATATATATATATATATATATATATATATATATATATATATATATATATTTACCAATGACTTACACAAAGGGTTCTGGAAAGAGACAACTGTTTTGAATATACTGTTAATTGATAAAATGTATCTATTTGTCAATTTTATAATTTGTTTAGCTCACCAAAAAGAGATGGAATAACTGAGGTAGTGCCCCTCAAGGCTTAATCTACTTTCCGTACTGATATTTATATAATAAGCTTCTGTTCTAAATAAAACGGCTCCAGACAAGGAATCAAAGCCACTAAACACTGGAGTCCCCTATGTCAGTCGTCCCATTTATGTCAGTTGTCCCAAGTCCTGCAAGTCATTACAGAATTAAAGAGCTAGATGTAGGACTACAATTTAAAGAATTGGAATCATGTAGTGTACAGATGACTCCTCATGAAGGTATTATCTCAAATCGTTAGTCATATTTCATAGGCCCTAATGTAATACATTGCTGCTAAATAAGAATAAATACTTGTTTTATATAGCTAATAGAAAGACATTTAAGTAATGATAACCATTTTACAGAAAGTTAAGAAGATACGTGGGGAAAATACGTTTGTCAGTATCAATACCTTTGGCATGTTGAATGTCTTTGTCTTGGCTATCTTTATCCTTGGGTTCCCCGTCATCTTTAAGGTGGGACCACGATCCCAGTCTTTTAACCCTCTCAAAGGAAATTGGAACATTTATCTTCCTTTTGACACCAGCTTTCTTGCTCTCACTGTTGTTGTTGTTTTCATCATCATCATCATCATCATCATCATCATCATCATCAATGATTTCAGAGTAATCCTCATCAGTTTCAGGAAGTTGGGCCATTTCTTTTTTCTTATCTTCAATGTCAGCCACTACATCAAGAACATCAAGCTTCTCAGCTCTACTGACATCAATATATTCATCTTCATCAATTGACTGTTTCAACTCCTCTTTTTCTTCCTCTTCCTCATCTTTTACATCATCTTCATGATCTTCATCACCAAGTTCAATACTGACCCTAGATCCCACTTTTCTAAGCATTTGTTTTTGGATCCGCACATTTATTTTGGGGGTGTATGTCTTGGCTCCCTCTGAACTGTCTTCATTGTCAATGTCTTCTCCATCTTCAACATCTTGATCTTTGACATCAACGTCATGGGTATCGCCCTCCTCCTCATCTACCTCTAAGTGATGATCCTTCTCCTCTTTCTCCATCTTCTCTTCTTTCCCCTCCTCCTCGCCGCCATCAACAAAAACTACCTCACCATCCATCGTTTGTTCATGGTCAAGTGCTTCAACATCTCCATCTACATGTGAAATGTAATGGTAACAAATTAAGGTATTTTTCAAATCTTAAATTATTTTCATTAGCAATTTAGGGGAGAGTGGGGAAAGTTGAGCCATTTTCTACATTCAGCTTCACTCAGTCAAGAGAAATATAGTATTCTTTCTAACAAAGATGTCCACAGTGCCTTCGGAAAGTATTCAGACCCATTGACTTTTTCCACATTTTGTTACTACAGCCTTATTCTAAAATGGATTAAATAAAATAAAAATCCTCATCAATCTTCACACAATACTCAATAATGACAAAGCGAAAACATGTTTTTAGAAATTTTAGCTAATTAATTACAAATAAAAAAACAGAAATACCTTGATGATTCCATTGATCATCCTTGAGAAGTTTCTACAACTTGATTGGAGTCCACCTGTGGTAAATTCTATTGATTGGACATGATTTGGAAAGGCATGACCTGTTTATATAAGTTGACAGTGCATGTCAGAGCAAAAACCAAGCCATGAGGTCGAAGGAACTGTCCTAGAGCTCCGAGACAGGATTGTGTCGAGGCACAGATCTGGGGAAGGGTACCATTGAAGGTCCCCAAGAACACAGTGGTCTCCATCATTCTTAAATGGAAGAAGTTTGGAATCACCAAGACTCTTCCTAGAGCTGGCCGCCGGGCCAAACTGAGCAATTAGAGGAGAAGGGCTATGGTCAGGGAGGTGACCAAGAAACCGATGGTCACTCTGACAGAGCTCCAGAGTTTCTCTGTGGAGATGGGAGAACCTTCCAGAAGTACAACCATCTCTGCAGCACTCCACCAATCAGGCCTTTCTGGTAGAGTGGCCAGACAGAAGCCACTCCTCAGTAAAAGGCACATGACAGCCCGCTTGGAGTTTACCAAAAGGCACCTAAAGACTCTCAGACCATGAGAAACAAGATTCTCTGGTCTGATGAAACCAAGATTGAGGCTAGATTGCGCCTAGGACCTCAGACAGGGACGAAGGTACACCTTCCAACAGGACAACGACCCTAAGCACACAGCCAAGACAATGCAGGAGTGGCTTTGGGATAAGTCTCTGAATGTCCTTGAGTGGCCCAGCCAGAGCCCGGACTTGAACCCAATCAAACATCTCTGGAGAGACCTGAAAATAGCTGTGCAGCGATGCTCCCCATCCAACCTGACAGAGCTTGAGAGGATCTGCAGAGAAGAATGGGAGAAACTCCCCAAATACAGGTGTGCCAAGCTTGTAGCGTCAAACTCAAGAAGACTCGAGGCTGCAATCACTGCCAAAGGTGCATCAAAGTATTGAGTAAATGGTCTGAATACTTATGTAAATGTGATATTTCAGTTTTTATTTTTAATACATTTGCAAAAATGTATAGAAACCTGTTTTTGCTTTGTTATAATGGGGTATTGTGTATAGATTGATGAAGGAAAAAAACTATTACATTTTTTTTGAATAAGGCTGTAAAATGTGAAAAAAGTTAAGGGGTCTGAATACTTACCGAATGCACTGAATATACAAAACATTAAGAACACCTGCTCTTTCCATGACATAGACTGACCAGGTGATTCCAGGTGAAAGCTGTGATCCCTTATTGATGTAAATTGTTAAATCCACTTTAATCAGTGTAGATGAAGGGGAGACAGGTTAAATAAGGATTTTTAAGCCTTGAGACAATTGAGACATTAATTGTGTGTATGCCATTCAGATGTTGAATGGACAAGACAAAAGTTAAGTGTCTTTAAAAGGGGTATGGTAGTAGGTGCCAGGCGCCCCAGTTTGTGTCAAGAACTGCAACGCTGCTAGGTTTTTCAGGCTGAACAGTTTCCTGTGTGTATCAAGAATAGTCCACCACCCAAAGGACATCCAGCCAATTTGACACAACTGTGTGAAGCCTTGGAGTCAACATGGGACAGCATCCCTGTGGAATGCTTTCGACACCTTGTAGAGTCCATGCCCCAATGAATTGAGGCTGTTCTGAGGGCAAAAGTGGGGGCAGGGGTGCAACTCAATATTAGAAAGGTGTTCCTAATGTTTGGTATACTCATTGTATTTCAGGATGTTGTGTATCCCTCAAAATAAGCAGTTTTTAAAACATAGCTTGTCCAAAAAAAGTGGCTAAGTTGAGCCGCGGGACAGGGTAAGTTGAGCCGCCTACACATACAGCTGTGGAAAAAATAAGAGACCACTGCAAAATTATCAGTTTCTCTGGTTTTACTATTTATAGGTATGTGTTTGGGTAAAACATTTTTTTTTGTTTTATTCTATAAACTACTGACAACATTTCTCCCAAATTCCAAATAAAAAATTGTCATTTAGAGCATTTATTTGCAGAAAATGACAACTAGTCAAAATAACAAAAAAGAGATGCAGTGTTGTCAGACCTAGAATAATACAAAGAAAATAAGTTCATTTTTAAACAACACAATACTAATGTTTTAACATAGGGAGAGTTCAGAAATCAATATTTGGTGGAATAACCCTGATTTTCAATCACAGCTTTCATGCTTCTTGGTATGCTCTCCACCAGTCTTTCACATTGATGTTGGGTGACTTTATGCAACTCCTGGCGCAAAAATTCAAGCAGCTCGGCTTTGTTTGATGGCTTGTGACCATCCATCTTCCTTTTGAATACATTCCAGAAGTTTTCAATGGGGTTCAGGTCTGGAGATTGGGCTGGCCATGACAGGGTCTTGATCTGGTGGTCCTCCATCCACACCTTGATTGACCTGGGTGTGTGGCATGACGCATTGTCCTCAGAGTTGGGGAACAATGTCAGAGCAAAAGGAAGCAAGTTTTCTTCCAGGACAACCTTGTATGTGGCTTGATTCATGCGTCCATCACAAAGACAAATCTGCCCGATTCCAGCCTTGCTGAAACACCCCCAGATCATCACCGATCCACCACCAAATTTCACAGTGGGTGCGAGACACTGTGGCTTGTAGGCCTCTCCAGGTCTCTGTCTAACCATTAGATGACCAGGTGTTGGGCAAAGCTGAAAATTGGACTCATCAGAGAAGATGACCTTACCCCAGTCCTCTACGGTCCAATCCTCATGGTCTTTTGCAAACCTCAGCCTGGCTCTTCTTTGCTTCTCATTGATGAAGGGCTTTTTTCTAGCTTTGCACGACTTCAGCCCTGCCCCTAGGAGCCTGTTTCGAACCGTCCTCGACGTGCACTTCACCCCAGCTGCCATTTGCCATTCTTTTTGTAGGTCACTTGATGTCATCCTGCGGTTGTTGAGTGACATTAGAATGAGTTGGCGGTCATCCCGGTCAGTAGAGAGTCGTTTTCGCCCTCTGCCGGTCTGTAGCTTTGTTGTCCCCAATGTCTGCTGCTTGACCTTGTTCTTATGAACCGCCGTCTTTGAAACCTTAAGGATGGATGCAACCTGACGCTCACTGTATCCCTCTGCCAGTAAAGCCAGAATTGAACCCTTCTTTTCCTCACTCAAAACGTTCCTTTTCAACTCTTTTGGCATGGTCAATAGTTATTTTTTTATTACTATTACTTTTGAGGTACTATTAGCACTATTTTTGCCATCCAGCTGGTCCTATTGCAAGAGGATAGTGATGACCACATCAGTGGTTTTTATACTTTTCCTCGTTAAATAAGATTTGGTTCAGGTGATCACCTAATCAGTACCTAATTCAGTAGAATGAGGTGTGCCTGTGTTGGAATTCAACAGACACTGGAATGGAATGGCTGTCATACATGTAGAGATGCTGATTTGAGAAAAATTTGCAGTAGTCTCTTAATTTTTTCCAGAGCTGTATATATATATATAAATGTTTGTGTTGAATTCTGTTTGGGAAATAATGATAGACATTATTTTTTAAAAAGTAGTCGTAATATTTTATTCAGTACAGAGATGTGTAGGCGGCTCAACTTACCCTGTCCCGCGGCTCAACTTACCCCATACCCGGAGTAAGTTGTGCCAAGAAGCCACTTTTTTTGGACAAGCTATGTTTTCAAATATGCTTAATTTTAAGCATATTTTAACACAAGCTTAACACCTAACAAACACGTTGTACTTTTCATAAAACACCTTCAACATAGGCCAGGCCCTGGTGTTACCTTATATTCCAGCAATAATGCCTTGGAAGAAAACTTTGCCTTGGGGTAAGTTGAGCCAATGGCCATTTGCTCAACTTACCCCATGGCCATTGGCTAAACTTACCCCAAGGCAAAGATTTTGACTATATTAGCCCACACAGCTACAGTGGGGAAAAAAAGTATTTAGTCAGCCACCAATTGTGCAAGTTCTCCCACTTAAAAAGATGAGAGAGGCCTGTAACTTTCATCATAGGTACACGTCAACTATGACAGACAAATTGAGGAAAGAAAATCCAGAAAATCACATTGTAGGATTTGTAATGAATTTATTTGCAAATTATGGTGGAAAATAAGTATTTGGTCACCTGCAAACAAGCAAGATTTCTGGCTCTCACAGACCTGTAACTTCTTCTTTAAGAGGCTCCTCTGTCCTCCACTCGTTACCTGTATTAATGGCACCTGTTTGAACTTGTTATCAGTATAAAAGACACCTGTCCACAACCTCAAACAGTCACACTCCAAACTCCACTATGGCCAAGACCAAAGAGCTGTCAAAGGACACCAGAAACAAAATTGTAGACCTGCACCAGGCTGGGAAGACTGAATCTGCAATAGGTAAGCAGCTTGGTTTGAAGAAATCAACTGTGGGAGCAATTATTAGGAAATGGAAGACATACAAGACCACTGATAATCTCCCTCGATCTGGGGCTCCACGCAAGATCTCACCCCGTGGGGTCAAAATGATCACAAGAACGGTGAGCAATAATCCCAGAACCACACGGGGGGACCTAGTGAATGACCTGCAGAGAGCTGGGACCAAAGTAACAAAGCCTACCATCAGTAACACACTACGCCGCCAGGGACTCAAATACTGCAGTGCAAGACGTGTCCCCCTGCTTAAGCCAGTACATGTCCAGGCTCGTCTGAAGTTTGCTAGAGTGCATTTGGATGATCCAGAAGAGGATTGGGAGAATGTCATATGGTCAGATGAAACCAAAATAGAACTTTTTGGTAAAAACTCAACTCGTCGTGTTTGGAGGACAAAGAATGCTGAGTTGCATCCAAAGAACACCATACCTACTGTGAAGCATGGGGGTGGAAACATCATGCTTTGGGGCTGTTTTTCTGCAAAGGGACCAGGACGACTGATCCGTGTAAAGGAAAGAATGAATCGCATGTATCGTGAGATTTTGAGTGAAAACCTCCTTCCATCAGCAAGGGCATTGAAGATGAAACGTGGCTGGGTCTTTCAGCATGACAATGATCCCAAACACACCGCCCGGGCAACGAAGGAGTGGCTTCGTAAGAAGCATTTCAAGGTCCTGGAGTGGTCTAGCCAGTCTCCAGATCTCAACCCCATAGAAAATCTTTGGAGGGAGTTGAAAGTCTGTGTTGCCCAGCGACAGCCCCAAAACATCACTGCTCTAGAGGAGATCTGCATGGAGGAATGGGCCAAAATACCAGCAACAGTGTGTGAAAACCTTGTGAAGACTTACAGAAAACGTTTGACATGTGTCATTGCCAACAAAGGGTATATAACAAAGTATTGAGAAACTTTTGTTATTGACCAAATACTTATTTTCCACCATAATTTGCAAATAAATTCATTAAATTCATTAAAAAAAAAAAAAAAAAAAATCCTACAATGTGATTTTCTGGATTTCTTTTTCTCATTTTGTCTGTCATAGTTGATGTGTACATATAATGAAAATTACAGGCCTCTCTCATCTTTTTAAGTGGGAGAACTTGCACAATTGGTGGCTGACTAAATACTTTTTTTCCCCCACTGTATAAGGATGCACTTTCATCCTAGATTTAAGACCTCATATTGAAGGTTATAGAGACTCCAACTGATGTATAGAACAATCTTAAAAGTATCTACTTTGGTTTAGATACAAGCATCATGACGAACTCAATACGTTGATTTGACTTGGTGAAAACCAATGTTTTGGACCTAACTTGCTTACCATGTGGTTTCTTCCTTCAGACTCCTTGAAATTTCTCTTCCCTAAATATTTGGTCAAATTATATATTTTGTGTATGGTTGCCTAGAAACAAGGGGTGGCTCAGCTCACCATTTTGCTCAACTTACCCCACTCTTCCCTACTTTGATATAATTATATAATTTATGATCATACCTTAAAATCACATTTTGGACATTGTACTTAATAATATGAAATATTTCCAAATACCTTGTTGGTTTTCATACATATCCTCAGGAAGTACCTCTCCAGCTCTTAGATGGGCCCTAGATCCCACTTTTCTGACCATCTGTTTTTGGATCCACACATTGTTTTGGGTGGTGTATGTCTTGGTCCCCTCTGAACTATCCTCATCGTCAATCTCTTCTCCATCTTCAACCTCTTGATCTTTGACATCAAGGTCATCTGTGTCATGAATGTCATCATCAGCTTCATCTTCTTCATGATCATCTTCACCGACAACATGATCTTTAATGTCAAGGTCACTGTGATCATCATGTTTATACTCATCAATGTCTTCCTCTGCCTCCTCCTCTCCATCATCTTCAAGATGTTCATCACCAACTTCAATATTGGCCCTAGATCCCACTTTTCTAAGCATCTGTTTTTGGATCTGCACATTTCTTTTGGTGGTGTATGTCTTGGTCCCCTCTGAACTGTCCTCATCGTCAATGTCTTCTCCATCTTCGACCTCTTGATCTTTGACATTAAGGTCATCTGTGTCATGAATGTTATCATCAGCTTCATCTTCTTCATGATCATCTTCACCGACAACTTGATCTTTAATGTCAAGGTCACTGTGATCATCATGTTTATACTCATCAATGTCTTCCTCTGCCTCCTCCTCTCCATCATCTTCAAGATGTTCATCACCAACTTCAATATTGGCCCTAGATCCCACTTTTCTAAGCATCTGTTTTTGGATCCGCACATTTATTTTGGTGGTGTATGTCTTGGTCCCCTCTGAACTGTCCTCATCGTCAATGTCTTCTCCATCTTCAACCTCTTGATCTTTGACATCAAGGTCATCTGTGTCATGAATGTCATCATCAGCTTCATCTTCTTCATGATCATCTTCACCGACAACTTGATCTTTAATGTCAAGGTCACTGTGATCATCCTGTTTATACTCATCAATGTCTTCCTCTGCCTCCTCCTCTCCATCATCTTCAAGATGTTCATCACCAACTTCAATATTGGCCCTAGATCCCACTTTTCTGACCATCTGTTTTTGGATCCACACATTGTTTTGGGTGGTGTATGTCTTGGTCCCCTCTGAACTATCCTCATCGTCAATGTCTTCTCCATCTTCAACCTCTTGATCTTTGACATCAAGGTCATCTGTGTCATGAATGTCATCATCAGCTTCATCTTCTTCATGATCATCTTCACCGACAACATGATCTTTAATGTCAAGGTCACTGTGATCATCATGTTTATACTCATCAATGTCTTCCTCTGCCTCCTCCTCTCCATCATCTTCAAGATGTTCATCACCAACTTCAATATTGGCCCTAGATCCCACTTTTCTAAGCATCTGTTTTTGGATCCGCACATTTATTTTGGTGGTGTATGTCTTGGTCCCCTCTGAACTGTCCTCATCGTCAATGTCTTCTCCATCTTCAACCTCTTGATCTTTGACATCAAGGTCATCTGTGTCATGAATGTCATCATCAGCTTCATCTTCTTCATGATCATCTTCACCGACAACTTGATCTTTAATGTCAAGGTCACTGTGATCATCCTGTTTATACTCATCAATGTCTTCCTCTGCCTCCTCCTCTCCATCATCTTCAAGATGTTCATCACCAACTTCAATATTGGCCCTAGATCCCACTTTTCTGACCATCTGTTTTTGGATCCACACATTGTTTTGGGTGGTGTATGTCTTGGTCCCCTCTGAACTATCCTCATCGTCAATCTCTTCTCCATCTTCAACCTCTTGATCTTTGACATCAAGGTCATCTGTGTCATGAATGTCATCATCAGCTTCATCTTCTTCATGATCATCTTCACCGACAACATGATCTTTAATGTCAAGGTCACTGTGATCATCATGTTTATACTCATCAATGTCTTCCTCTGCCTCCTCCTCTCCATCATCTTCAAGATGTTCATCACCAACTTCAATATTGGCCCTAGATCCCACTTTTCTAAGCATCTGTTTTTGGATACGCACATTTATTTTGGTGGTGTATGTTATGGCCCCCTCTGAACTGTTTTCGTTGTAAATGCCTTCATATTGAACACCTTGATCTTTGACGTCAACCTCATGGGTGTCATCCTTCTCCTCCTCCTCCACCTCCTCATCTAACTCTAAGTGTTGATCCTTCTCCTCTTTCACCTCCTCTTCTTTTCCACCCTCCTTGCCAACATCCATGATTTCTTCATCATCCATTCTTTGTTCATGGTCAAGTTCTTCAACATCACCATCTACATCAGTGATGTAATGGCAACAAATTAAGGCATTTTTCCTATCTTTAATCAATTTTATTAGCAATTTACTTTGATATGATGACGGTCCTATCATAAATGAAAATCACATTTTGGACATCATAGCTAATGATATGAAATATTTCCAAATACCTTGTTGGTCTTCATCCATATCCTTAGGAAGTACCTCTCCAGCTCTTAGATGGGCCTTAGATCCCACGTTTCTAAGCATCTGTTTTTGGATCCACAATTTTTTTGGGGTGGTGTATTTCTTTGCCCCCTCTGAACTGTCATCTGTACTGTCCTTGTCTCCTTGCTCTTCTTCAGCCTCTTTGACATCATCATCCTTCCCCCCCACAACTGGAGTGACGCTTATTTCAGGTACAGGGGCAGCGTCCTTTGTAGTGCCCATCAATTCTGCAACTGTGTCACCAAGCCACTTTGTCTTTATTATTGTCTTCCCCATCTCCACATATCATTAGCATTCGTCAGAGGTGAGATGTTGCAGATGCAAACACGCAAACATTAAGACATTGACAGAGTTATGGAAATTAAATGGCAACACATTCCAACATTAGTCATATTCATACAATATACACCACATGTTGCACTCTGATTGGCTGATTTGGACGCTGGTATAGGAAGGCAAAACATGCAGACTGCATGTTTTATCTAGCCTGCAATAACATGCTCGACACATTTTTATCTAAAGGGTTGGGTTGACTATCATTTGTTGCTTAGATGAAAACCATTCCAGACATAAAATCTCTAAGCATTCACCCAATAAATAATCGTTATTGAAATACGATGCCAACCGTTTTACTTTTTCCTTGGTGGAATGAAGACTACATCTATTTATTTTAACCAGTAGTGTACACTTGAATTGCAACATGTAGTCAGTGGTCAGTCAATCAAACAGATAATGCGGAAACAATGCAAGAGGGGGACAAGACAACATGGAAGAAGGGATCTCCTAAACCAATAGATTTCCATTTCAGAGACAACTCATGCTGTACACACTTCAGTAAATCAAACAATTGATAGGGGAACAATATGAACACAAATAAGGATGAAGGAACACATGACAAAAGAAACACAAACTGTTACAACGAAGGAACTCTGTGTGTGTAGTGACAATTAGAATGGGCATTCAGTCACCAAGTCCAAAACCACAATGACATTTTGATAGACATTTATTGAATTATTACTATGATGAGCATGCAATATTAACATTTTCCCATTAAACATAATTATTGTTCCATTGGTAGTCTACATACATTGCCTGAAGAAAGTATTCATACCCCTTGACTTATTCCACATTTTGTTGTGTTACAGCCTGAATTCAAAATAGATTAAATAAAATAAAAAAATCTCACCCATCTACACACAATACCCCATGACAAATGTTAGCACATTTATTGAAAATGAAATATAGAAATAGCTAATTTACATAAGTATTCACACCCGAGTCAATACTTTGTAGAAGCACCTTTAGCGGCGATTACAGCTTTGAGTCATATTGGGTATGTCGGTATCAGCTTTACACATCTGGATTTGGGGATTTTCTCCAGGTCTGTTAAGTTAGATGGGGAGCGGTGGTGAACAGCATTCTTCAAGTCTTTCCACAGATTTTCAATGGGATTCATGTCTGGGCTTTGGTTGGGCCACTCAATAATTTTCACATTCTTGTTCTGAAGCCATTCCAGCATTGCTTTGGCTGTATGCTTGGGGTCATTGTCCTGTTGGAACTTAACTCTTCACCCCAGTCTAAGGTTGTTTGCACTCTGAAGCAGGTTCTCATAATTTGCCTGTATTTGGCTCCATTCATTGTGCCTTCTATCCTTACCAGTTTCCCAGTCCCTGAGTTATTTCTGTATATCATTTTCAATAAATTTGCTGAAATGACTAAAAACATGTTTTCACTTTGTCATTATGGGGTATTGTGTGTAGATGGGGGGGAAAAATATATATATTTTATACATTTTGAATTCAGGCTGTAACAAAACAGGGAATAAGTCAAGTTGTATGAATACTTTCTGAAGGCACTGTACAAAATGAGATTATGAAATAGCGAAAAAAAAAGGTTCATGCCGCAACCCATTTCCATTAAATAATAGTTAATGCTGAAGTGTTTCACAGCAAGCTCCATTGTGAGAGCATTATTACAACTCAGTAACCACGTTTCCATCCAAGTCATACTGTATAATAAAAAAAATCACGACAGCTATGATGGAAACAGGAAGTTTCGGTACAATTTTATAAATGCCGAAAGATAATTTGTTCGTTCGACATGGTAGGATCTTTTTGTGTCTGTAAAATGTATTATGCGAGAAATGGCGGTGGAAATGCCTTTATGCGCAAATATTGATATAATAACCATTGTATCAAAGTAAACTTGGAGTAATGCGATGATATGGTGTGTGGTCCTCCTCCCACTACGACTCGGGAAACCATACAGTTTATTAGGCCACAGATGATACAAGTTATAATGAAATTCACAGGGTGGTGAATGTGCACTGTGATGTTGATATGCATTTCCAATAAATATCGAGGGTCTTATTTTGGTGACATGCTTGACTGCTGTTTGACAAATATTCTCGCTCTTATCCATAATAATCTCGTCATGTAGACTATACCCGCACAGCCTGCCCGCACTGTATCTGCGGGCTGTTGGCTAGAGTGCACGTGCCAAGACAACAGTAGGAACATTTGCTATTCAATGCAAACGTTTGTGAAAAAGCTATCGGTATAGTTGAAAATGCAATGGAAACATATTGAACTTTAGATTTTTATTTGGTACATGAAAACTTAAGTGAAAGTACATTTTGTATGCACTACATCACACTGATTTTTTTCTTATGCGGATTCTCGAGTATTGGCTTGAAAATCTGTCGCAATTGGGTGGAAAACTAGCTAGTGTCAGAATGTTACAAATACACATATTGCAAGGCAACAATGATTAGTACAGGCAGCCACACCTTTGCACACTGAATGAGATTGGCTGATTTTAACACGGGAGTCCGAGATTTGTCCATAGTGATTAACATTTTCAAATTGTCTCAACTATGATGGATGATACAGACCAAAAATATTCTGTAGATAATTTTGTAGTGTTGAAAATCTTGTAATTGATCACAATCTGTATGTGACAACCTCAGTCACCCCTTATCACATATAATACAACTAGATTTACACAACCCAACAAACAAAACAAAAACATTTCAAGTCATCAAAAGACCACAACACCACATGAAAGCAGAATTCCATAGCCAGATCTAATGCATTGACAATTGATGAAACTCTACATTTGTTGCTGTATTCACATCATCCTTTGGTAGTGGTGACAATTGGTGTACGAACGATTGTTACGTACCTTTTTCCAGGGGTGGCAAAAACTCTCCTAGGATTGGAAATAGGAAAAACATTGATTTGAATGAAAATCTATTGATGAAATGAAAGAGAAGAGATCATCAAACAACCACAATAAATCAAACAATCTAAGAGAGTTTAACAATAATTAACTGAGAAATTAACAAAAACCAACCTTTCTTCCTTATCACATGCATCACAGATGCTGGTGTAGTACTATGTTCATCTACACCCCAAAAGAAAACAGACATGTGGGAGTCAAGACTTGAAATATCTTGAAACGTACGTGTAATTCCTAATTTCATATGTGAAAATCATCTGCTTATGTCAAGAGATTTGCATACATTTGAGTTACTTGAGCAGATAAGTAAAGTGTACAAAATATTAGGAACACCTTTTGCCCTCAGAACAGCCTAAATTCGTCAGGGCATGGACTCTACAAGGTGTCGAAAGCGTTCCACAGGGATGCTGGCCCATGTTGACTCCAATGCTTCCCACAGTTGTGTCAAGTTGGCTGGATGTCCTTTGGGTGGTGGACCATTCTTGATACACATGGGAAACTGTTGAGCGTGAAAACCCAGCAGCGTTGCAGTTCTTGACACACTCAAACCGGTGCGCCTGGCACCTACTACCATATCCCGTTCAAAGGCACTTATATTTTGTCTTGCCTATTCACCCTCTGAATGGCACACATACACAATCCATGTCTCAATTGTCTCAAGGCTTAAAAATCATTTTTTAACCTGTCTCCTCCCCTTCATCTACACTGATTGAAGTGGATTTAACAGGTGACATTAATAAGGGATCATAGCTTTCATCTGGATTCATCTGGTCAGTCTATGTCATGGAAAGAGTTCCTAATGTTTTGTACACTGTGTATAGCCAGAACAGTATCATGAATGAGATGTACGTTATTGATGTCAGGTCCAACATTATTGGCAACCTTGATAAAGATGAGCAAAAAAGGCTGAATAAAATAAATAATACAAATACTGAGCAATCTTTATCAATGGTGCCAATCATGTTGGACCTGACTGTATGTCATATGTCACATTATCTATTTCCCGTTATTGTTCCTATGTCATAGAATGCATATGATGGTCACACAACCAGGTATACCTTTATCATCCATAAGCATGTTGGACAGATAATCCATGAACATGTTTTTCCCATCTGCAATCTCAAGCACTGCATCTGTGACCACTTTCATAGGTTCAAAGTTAATCCCAGGAATGACCCCTAAAGATACAAAAAGACCATTAGCTGGTGGTGTTCCATTAGGATATGAAAAGAATAATCGGAATGAAAGAACTGGATTAAAAAAGGACGGAAATAAAAAAATCCAGCTATTATCAAATTCAGTGGCAGTCTTGTTTTCCCAGACACAACCTGAACCAAGAATGGCTAGAGGCAAGGCTTGTTCAATTGTAATTTCAAAGACATTACCTACAGCACCACAGCTTCACAGCAATTTAATAAGCAAATTCATACATTATTTTTACTGTCCCCTGAAAATACCCTCTAATACAGGGGTGTCAAACTCATTCCACGGAGGGCTGAGTGTCTGCAGGTTTTTCCTTTCAATTAAGACCTATACAACCAGGTGAGGGGAGTTCCTTACTAATGAGTGACCTTAATTCATCAATCAAGTACAAGGGTGGAGTGAAAACCCACAGACACCGGGCCCTCCGTGGAATGAGTTTGACACATGCTCCAATACAAGCTACTTGCTAAGCTTGTTACTATTTATAAGTACCTTGATCGCCTATCAGCAAGTTGGAGACATAGTCCACAAGCATGTTCTTCTGCTCAATGACAATCCCAAACATTCTTCTGAGAACCAGAATGGGATCGACGTTCACTTCTTGAGGGATACCTGTTCATAAGAGAGGTGAACTGTAAAGTCTGATAGTCCATGCATTGATTTTAACTATTTTTCAATAAATTGATCTCTATAGAAGTGTATACCTGGCAGCAGGTCCCATATGTAAGTTCCAGTAGAACTTGTACAGTCAGTGATAACATGCACTACTTCTACGGCATTGATGCTCACTGCATGGAGAAGGTCTGAGCATAGAAGAAAATATGGAGAGCTCATCACATGTATTAAGGACATTTACTTTTTATCCATACCAACAAAGAAATAACAGATTATTTATAGAAAAAATTGTTGTGTAATAATCATGTGGACATACCTTGCAGGATATCCAATATGGCATCCAACAGAACACAGAGTGTGCCTTGTATGTAACCCACGACTCCACATATAGAGTTATTGGTGACATTAAACAGACCTCTGCCAATAATCACCGGGTCAACGTAGCTCAGGTAAAAGTTTCCTGAGAAAATAAACATTTTCAAACATTTACATTAAAATATGTTCATATTGTCATGACTCTCATGTGATGGATTCACATGAGAAGCCCAAGATCGGTATACAGAGAAGCAACAGTCTACAGAACAAATGAGAGATTGTTGGGGGGGTGGTTATGACCCCTCGCTCCAAATCATACATGGTTTGCTAGTATTGGCGATCTGAATATCTCTCTATTACAGGGACAGATTGCCGCCCAAAACTCTAAACGACCATAGGTGGACACTGGAACAGTATATTTCAACATCTGAATGTTGGGAGTGATGAAAGAGAGAATTTGGAAAATGAATGTCTATTTTGGGATGTCATTAAAACTTTTATAAAAATGTTATAACCAAAACATTGTAACTTGAGGAGCTTTCATACTGTGCATTTCAAGTTCGCATACATTATAATGTGTAGGAAATATCCAGAAGAAAGACAATATTTTTTATAAAGATAGGAAGATGATTTTGGTTCTTTAAACGAAATCATAGTGTTCAGAATACTTTGCCCCAGTAACTAGCCACGCCCACGGGAGCTCAGAAAGAGTGTCCACATGACGTAAACGGCGTCTTTACCAGAGTGCATAAAAGATTGAGTTAAGAATGAAAAAACCAGACCAGCCGATATGCAGCGCGAGCTGAATGTGGCAAAGTGGATGAAACGCTACAGACCAGGAAGACAGACCTCAAGCTACAGCGAGGTCCATATTGGTCCCGACCCTGAAAATCAACACGAGGTGAAGACGACAAAGTTGCCTCCACTAACAATCAATGTTACGGTTGAGTAGCTGTTCTAAGTACTGTATCTAAGAAAGTGGGACCGTCCTGTTACTCTCTTCAAACCGTTGTCTACTACACTGCTCTCATCACCCCACAGGTGATCATCGACACAGCTGAATAGCCGTCCTCAGAAGACCACTTCCAGAATGAGTGAAAGTAAACAGACAACGAAGAAGGACATTGTGACCTCTTGTGGACAATCAGAGCCTTACATCTAAAGCTCATCCGAAGGAGAAGGCCCAATCGACCCCTTTCCACGAAGGCCTGGGTCCAACAGAGATACACGACGAAGACCTCCAACACGTAAATACATGCATTACTTCTTACCAAACGGGCGGCAGTTCGGGGCAAGGTATTAGATTTACTGTGAGTGTAGTTCCATGTCTTTCCAAGTGTTTTCTCTCTTGCTCTCTCTTTAACTCGCCATCTGTTGTAACCAGTGTCATATTGTGTTAGTCTGCTAGGGACCCGTTTTCATTGTATTAAGTTCTAATCCCTAACCTGTATGTGTTTGTATTATAATTTTAATTACTTACATTGCACAGCACTTGACATGTAGAACGTGTAGATTATGTACCTTCGGTGGAACTGCAGTAAAAATCACAAAGCCTATACATCTGCTATTTGTTCTACCATTGTTGTGCAACTTTTCTATTAGCATTTTTAATGATTGAACATGGAATATAATGTTGGAATCAAATATAGATTTTCAGAACAGTTGTGTTTTTGTGATGCATTTCCGTGATAGGAAAGCCAACTACTAATCAAGATTGCAGTGCAAAGTCAAGTACAGTGCAATGTCATTAATCTGTGTTGGTTTGAATCCCGGCCTAACATTCATTAACATAAGGAAACAAAAAAACTAATGTAACCCCCCCCCCAAAAAAAAAAAAAACAATTAAAAAAATATTTCAAGAACACAAGACCGCTTTAACAACATTGGGCATCCTTATACCGTCATCATCAGAGAGGTAGTCCACAAATAAATCTTTCACATCTTTGACAGCATTCATGGGGTCCAGACTCAAATGAGGAGCAAATGCACATTCTGAGGACATAGTAAGAAAATGTATATTACTTTACAGTTTTTCAATTGGACAGGATTCTGCATAAAATGATTACAAGATATATAGCTACCTTGCGCCTCATAGAACATGTTGGACATTCCCTCTACAGCATCATTAACAGCTTTCATGGGATCCAAAACTACGTCTTGAATGTCTGCGAAAAGCATTGCGACAAACATTGGGAATTAGGGTTAGGGTTTCGACAATAACTTAAATATTGTTTAACATGAAATACGTTGAAATATTATCAAAGTAATGGACTCCATAAGACTTAATAAATGTAATAGAAAGATAAATAGACTTACCAGTGACCCCTTTATATTCTACAACGTCAAACATCATGAAGCCTGCAGTAATCCAGGAGAGGAGAAGGCTGATAGTCACCACTAACTCTACAGAAAAGGTCAGTTTCTTGAGCATTCCAAACCCTTGGGCCTTAGGAGGGGGTGATGGGGGCACCACATTCCCATTCAGCCCATCGGCTACAGCAGCTGAGATGGACTCCACAGCTGCACCTGGAAACATGAGAAAGCTTTAAATTGCTGCCAGTAGTGCATGATAGTCATACTTACTCTATACTAGTGATTAATGTAAATGTACATGTAATTAATCTTAGGCTGACCGAGGAGGAGCAATACAGCAAATCAGGTAGCTATTATGCAAGTGCTATTTCCTATTATAGTAGTGATATCTTTAAATATGCCACAAAGCTTTGAATATGGATGTGTCCTGTTAAGTGCACAGCAGTATAATTGTTTTCAATACCCAATTAACACAAATAAATACAACACAAATAGTTTGACATTCAATAGGTTATTTACTGGCCTCTAAACTGATAAACCCTCAGGTATTTTTGATACCCTTATTATACACTGTAAATTGAAAAATGCTACTTGTAATATCCCTCAGCTGTCATAAGACAGCTTTAGCCACATGTTTGTTGTGGATAATAAGTGTAAGGCCCCATCCAGACAGGGACGGAACTCACTCTGTTATAGTGACTGTACAAAGTTGACTCAGTCAACTGCTGCAGAGGAGGTCAAAGGGAGGTGGATGTAGTGGATGGCTTTTAGCATTACCTATTCAGGGGCGGCACCAGAACCTGATGGACGGGCATTTGAGTTCCATATGGGAGCATGTTTTTTTTCATGGTTGGTAAAGCCATAACTTAACTGTAAAAATGTATTACCAACTCATCTTTGGTATGTCTATCAGTTTTGCACATCTGGATTTGGGGATTTTCTCCCATTCTTCCTTGCAGATTCTCAATCTCTGTTAAATTAGATGGCGCGTGGTGAACATCAATCTTCAAGTCTTTCCACAGATTTTCAATGGGATTCAAGTCTGGGCTTTGGCTGGGCGACTCGTTGACTTTCACATTCTTTTTCTGAAGCCATTCCGGCGTTGCTTTAGCTGTATGCTTGGGGTCATTGTCCTGTTGGAACGTGAATCTTCGCCCCAGTCTAAGGTCGTTTGGACTCTGAAGCAGGTTCTCATAAAGGATTAGCCTGTATTTGGCTACATTCATTGTTCCCTCTATTCTTACCAGTCTCCCTGCCACTGAAAAGTATCCCCATAGCATGATGCTGCCATCACCATACTTCACGGTAGGGATGGTGTTAGATGGGTGATGAACTGTGCCTGGTTTTCTCCAGACATAGTGCATTGCATTCAGACCAAAGAGTAAAATGTTTCTCATCAGACCACATACTATTTTGCCTTATGATCTCAGTCTTTCACATATATTTTTGCAAATTCCAGGGGTGCTGTCATGTGCCTTTTTCTCAGGAGTGGCTTCCATCTGGCCACTCTCCCATAAAGCCCAGATTGGTGAGGGTGCTGTAGAGACGTTGTCCTTCTGGCAGGTTCTCCCATCTCAGCCAAGGAACTCTGTAGTTCTGTCAGAGGGGTTCTTTGTCACCTCCCTGACCAAGGTCCTTCTTGCCCGGTTACTCAGTTTGGTCGGAAGGCCAGATCTAGGCAGAATCTGGGTAGTTAAATATTTATTTCCAATTCCCAATGATGGAGACCACTGTGCTTTGGAAACTTTCGACACACTAGAAATTGTTTTAACTTTGTCATTATGGGGTATTGTGTGTAGATGGGTGAGAAAAAACATCTGTTACATCCATACGCACAAACAGTTTATTTCTCTCAAATGATGTGCAAATAAATTGTTTACATCCCTGTTAGTGAGCATTTCTCCTTTGCCAAGATAATCCATCTACCTGACAGGTGTGGTTTATCAAGAAGCTGATTAAACAACATGATAATTACAAAGGTGCACCTTGTGGTCCTCTGTAGCTCAGCTGGTAGAGCACGGCGCTTGGAACGCTAAGGTAGTGGGTTCGATCCCCGGGACCACCCATACACCAAAAAAAATATATAATGTATGCACGCATGACTGTAAGTCGCTTTGGATAAAAGCGTCTGCTAAATGGCATATTATTATTATTATTATTGTGCTGGGGACAATAAAAGGGCCTCTCTAAAATGTGCAGTTTTGTCATACAACACAATGCCACAGATGTCTCAAGTTTTGAGGGAGCGTGCAATTGGCACGCTGACTGCAGGAATGTCCACCAGAGCTGTTGCCAGAGAATTGAATGTTCATTTCTCTACAATAAGTTGCCTCAAACTTCATTTTAGAGAATTTGGCAGTACGTCCAAACAACCTCACAACCGCAGACCACGTGTAACCACGCCAGCCCAGGACCTCCACATCCGGCTTCTTCACCTACAGGATCCTCTGAGACCAACCACCCGGACATCTGATTAAATTGTCGGTTTGCACAACCAAATAATTTCTGCACAAACTGTCTCAGGGAAGCTCATCTGCATGCTCGTTGTCCTCACCTAAAAGGACATTCAACAAGCACAGAACTGACACAAATGACTGATGATTGGCTGAGAGAAATTGATGATAAAAAGATTGTGGGGGCTGTTTTGTTAGACTTCAGTGCAGCTTTTGACATTATCGATCATAGTCTGCTGCTGGAAAAACTTGTGTTATGACTTTACAGCCCCTGCTATAAATAAATAAGGGGCTATAAATAAAATGTAAATGTAAATGCTATAATGTGGATAAAGAGTTACTTGTCTAACAGAACACAGAGGGTGTTATTTAATGGAAGCTTCTCCAACATAATCCAGGTAGAATCAGGAATTATCCAGGGCAGCTGTCTAGGCCCCTTGCTTTTGTCCATCTTTACTAACGACATGCCACTGGCTTTAAGTAAAGCGGATGACTCAACACTATATACGTCAGCTACTACAGCAACTGAAATAACTGCAACACTTAACAATGAGTTGCAGTTAGTTTCGGAATAGGTGGCATGGAATAAGTTAGTATTGAATATTTCCAAAACTAAAAACCTTGTTTTTGGGTCAAATTGTTCACTAATCCCTAAACCTCAACTACATCTCGTAATTAATCATGTGGAAATTGAGCAAGTTGAGGTGACTAAACTGCTTGGAGTAACCCTGGATTGTAGACTGTCATGGTAAAAGCATATTGATACAACAGTAGCTAAGATGGGGAAAAGTATGTCCATAATTAAGCGCTGCTCTGCCTTCTTAACAAAACTATCAACAAGGCAGGTCCTACAGGCCCTAGTTTTGTCGCACCTAGACTGCTGTTCAAAGAGGGACTTGGGAAAATTGCAGTTGGCTCAGAACAGGGCAGCACGGCTGGCCCTTAAAAGTACACTGAGAGCTAACATTGATGACATGCATGTCAGTCTCTCCTGGCTCAGAGTGGAAGAGAGATTGTCTTCATCAAAACTTGTTTTTTTTAGATGTGTCAAAGAGCTGAATGTACCGAGCTGTCTGTTTGGAATACTGGCACACAGCTCGGTCACCCATGCATACCCCACAATACATGCCACCAGAGGTCTCTTTACAGTCCCCAAGTCCAGAACGGACTATGGGGGGCGCACAGTACTACATAGAGCCATGACTACATGGAACTCTATTCCACATCAGGTAAATGATGCAAGAAGTAGAATCAGATTGAAAAAAAACAAGTAAAAATACATATTGTGTAACAGTGGGGACTGTGAAGAGACACACACACAGGTACATACACATGCATATAGACACTCACTCTACACACACGTACACATGGATGTTGTATTGTAAATATGTGTTAGTGGAGTAGTGGCCTGAGGGAACACACTAAATTGGGTAAAGTGTTATGAAATATAATGTCATGTAATATTTTAAATTGTATATAACTGCCTTGATGTTGCAGGTCTGGTGAATTCTGCATCCTCTGGAGTAGAATACCAAGCCCTTCGGTTCTAGTAGACCGTGAGGACGTCTATCCAGTAGCAACCTCTCCCCTGTGCTGCCCTCTTGGCAGCTTTATGGGCCCCGTACGGCTGGTGAGGAATCAGCCCCTTGATTACTCACCAGCCTCAATCAGCCGCAATTAGTCCTGGCCAGAGGACCCGTCGAGACCTGGCAAGTCGAGCAGAGGGAGCCACCGCCGTGTGATGTAGACTCGGTCTGTCACCAGGCCTCAACGAGGTCTCCCCCTGGTGGCTTGTGCGTGGTACGCCACAAGTGTATATACAGTGGGGAGAACAAGTATTTGATACACTGCCGATTTTGCAGGTTTTCCTACTTAAAAAGCATGTAGAGGTCTGTCATTTTTATCATAGGTACACTTCAACTGTGAGAGACGGAATCTAAAACAAAAATCCAGAAAATCACATTGTATGATTTTTAAGTAATTAATTTGCATTTTATTGCATCACATAAGTATTTGATACATCAGAAAAGCAGAACTTAATATTTGGTACAGAAACCTTTGTTTGCAATTACAGAGATCATACATTTCCTGTAGGTCTTGACCAGGTTTGCACACACTGCAGCAGGGATTTTGGCCCACTCCTCCATACAGACCTTCTCCAGATCCTTCAGGTTTCGGGGCTGTCGCTGGGCAATACGGACTTTCAGCTCCCTCCAAAGATTTTCTATTGGGTTCAGGTCTGGAGACTGGCTAGGCCACTCCAGGACCTTGAGATGCTTCTTACGGAGCCACTCCTTAGTTGCCCTGGCTGTGTGTTTCGGGTCGTTGTCATGCTGGAAGACCCAGCCACGACCCATCTTCAATGCTCTTACTGAGGGAAGGAGGTTGTTGGCCAAGATCTCGCGATACATGGCCCCATCCATCCTCCCCTCAATACCGTTCAGTCGTCCTGTCCCCTTTGCAGAAAAGCATCCCCAAAGAATGATGTTTCCACCTCCATGCTTCACGGTTGGGATGGTGTTCTTGGGGTTGTACTCATCCTTCTTCTTCCTCCAAACACGGCGAGGGTAGTTTAGACCACAAAGCTCTATTTTTGTCTCATCAGACCATATGACCATCTCCCATTCCTCCTCTGGATCATCCAGATGGTCATTGGCAAACTTCAGACGGGCCTGGACATGCGCTGGCTTGAGCAGGGGGACCTTGCGTGCGCTGCAGGATTTTAATCCATGACGGCGTAATGTGTTACTAATGGTTT